CAATATTTATTTTTGAAAGCATTCTTACTTTATAGCATTTTTTCACACCTGCCTAAAACTTTTGCACAGTACTGTATCTTACTAGTTTAGAATAGTTTTAAAAGTATTTCATGTTGATTTTAATCTTTCTTTAACATATTAAAATAATTTAAATGTTAATGTAAATTGCTATGAGCCATTTAAGAAGGCAATATCAAGAGGAAATATCAATAATAATGATAGTCACTTGTTTTCAACTTCAATAGTTCATCTGGGTTGGGGGTTTTTTGTACTAAGAATTAGACAGAACAAATCATGTGATGACATTAGCTGATAAAATGAGAAGTAGCTTTTACTTCTCATAAATAGAAAAACATAGATATGTGATTGTTTTGTTTAATTATTTTATGAATTAAAGATATGGTACTGATCATAGGCTACAATATCAATAATATGATACATCCCGCCCCCCCCAAAAAAAAGAGGGAGACCAGAAAGTTCAGATTGTCTGTTTTTCAGTTCCTGCATAGGGAAGGGACTACTCTATTCTAGCAAGTATCTTGAAAAATAAATTATTAGTCTCTAAGTTTGCTTTTGACTTCTTTATGTAGAAATGATTACAGTGTCAGACAAGAAATGCTAAGTATTGCTACTTGTGCTCAAGGGAAGAGTATGATGGAAAACCTGGCTGGCCAAAAACATTTGCGGGTTATAGCATCAAAATCCTTTGTTGAAAGTGCAAGGTATGTTGTGATTTTTGGAACATCATGATTTATTTTAAGGAAATCTGAATATTACACCAACAGATGTATAAATCTCAGGCAAATAGTAAGCTATATATAGAAAGGCACTGAAATGAACCATCAGAATTTCATCAACATTGAATGACCTGGTATGGGTGTGGCTCATAAAGAATAGTGTGCCTCTCCTCATTAAACATTAATAATGAAGTAATGTAAGTTGTATCAAACTATTTCAGGAGTAGAAACCTTTATCTTTTTTCCTTCCCTTCTCTTTGATACTGATTTTTTTTTTTTTAATTAAGCAAGAGCTGCATAAAATTAGGCCAAAGGCCAGATGTAGCCTTAGCACCATTTTATGCCTGTTTCTGGATATTTTATTGATTATGGAGAACATTTTAGTGTTTTTTTTTTAAATGAGAGCTCAATAGCTTTGTGAATTAGCTCTAGGTTTCATTCTTAGATTCATAGTAATAATCATTTCCAGATTACTTTAATTTTCAATAAACTAACATTTTTGCATAGTACCTAGCTAATAGTCTGAGACAGTCCTGGATGAATTTTTGTCTATGACTGTTGATAACGTTTGATAAAGTTAAAACTTTTCACTTTTGATATAATACAAAATCAGTCAAAGGAAGATTAAGTATTAAAATATTAAATATTAAATATAAAAATATATTTAGAACATATGTGTCATGGATAAAGTCATGGGGAAAGTTTAGTAGCTACTTGACAAAAAGAGATAGTTAAAAGAATTTTTGTGTTTGCAATAGAAAATATGAAGAAGTAATTGGCTTAGCCAATGCAGAGTTCCTAAAATTGTACATAGTGCTCCAATCTCTTCTTTTCCCACAACAACAATCCTGAGAGGGTTGGGCTGAGACAAAGTGGCCAGCCCAAAATTACCTGGTCAGCTTTCATGACTAAGGGAAGACTAGAACTCACAATGTCTTGGTTTCTAGTCCAGCACCTTAACCATTGCACCAAACATTTTCATTTCAGGAAACAGACACAAAACTTAATAATTTTTTTTTTAGATTTTTTATCCTGCCTTTATTATTTTTATAAATAACTCAAGGCAGCAACAAATAACTCCTTCCACCTCCTATTTTTCTGACAACAACAACCCTGTGAGGTGAGTTGGGCTGAGAGAGAGTTTTCATGCCCAAAGTTTTCATGCCTAAGGTGGGACTAGAACTCACTCTCTCCTGGTTTGTAGCCTGGTACCTTAACCACTAAACCAGATTGGCTATCCTATCAACATTTGTTGATAGGAAACATTCAGTTTCAGAAAACTTTGAAGTGCTGTTGAAATAATGCTGCAATTCAGAGTAAAATAATGATAAATGGAGTGCAAGGTATAAGTCATCCCATAAATTTTGACATATGGGAAAACATCTGCTGATGTAACTTTTTTTTTATATTATATTCATGGGGGGAATGTTATGAAATGAAGAGCAGATGGCATAATAACCATAATAAACCATAATTTATTAGCATGTAGAATCTCCTGTTGAAGAATATAAAAGAATAATGGGAACTGATTCTAATTATGGGGGACTTGATTCTTTAGGAAGAAAAAGATCACCTAATATTATCAAACATTTATTAAGATAATGAAAAAGAGAGAGAATGAAAGCTTTACTATTTGTTTTGACATGTAAAACCTATAAATAATTGTGATAATTGCTATCCAACATCCAACAAACAGCAAGTTCTGGAGGAAACTGAGAAATGAGATGGAATTATGAATATGCAATAATGGATTAATAAGCACATTATTTAAAATTATTTAAAAATTAGCAAAGGAAATAAGCATAATCAGTAAGATAATTAATTAATAATTACTAACTGTTAGAACAACAGAAACATTAAATTCATTGGAGAATATTATATATTACTACATACAGGAAATATGTGGGTATATTCATAACTCTATATAATTATAATCCTGGGGGGGGTTGAAATGAGACAGTAGCAAATTATTTTAGAGGACAAAATCTCAGGAATGGTTAAATTACTAAAAAATTATGTCTGTTGTATGATAGATAGATAGATAGATAGATAGATAGATAGATAGATAGATAGATAGATAGATCGTTAGATAGATAGACAGACAGACAGACAGAAGAGGACAAAATCTCAGGAATGGTTAAATTACTAAAAAATTATGTCTGTTGTATGATAGATAGATAGATAGATCGTTAGATAGATAGACAGACAGACAGACAGAAGAGGACAAAATCTCAGGAATGGTTAAATTACTAAAAAATTATGTCTGTTGTATGATAGATAGATAGATAGATCGTTAGATAGATAGACAGACAGACAGACAGATGGAGAAACAAGAGAGGGAGAAATAAACTTTTTCGATAGATTTTTTTTTTTAATTTACACTAAAGGAATACAGCTTTTAATGGACAAACCCTTTAATTCAAGAAATTCAGTGTCTTAACCTTGAAAGATGTCCAGAGGGTAGTGAATCAAAATCATTACAATTTGCATTACGCATTGCTTACAACCTGCTACAGCAGGTCTATGGTTTTATTATATTTTTCCACTTTCTTAGATACGCAGGAGAAGCAGGAAATCTTGGTCTCGCCATGGTAGCAGCTCGACAATTCTGGAATGCATGCTTACCTTTCATTGGTTCTTCAGCAGACAGGCAGCATCTCAAAGCACCCACTGAAGTCATTCTCAAGAGCATCATTAAAGCATCCGAGGCCAAAAATAAGCAGGTAAGAAATAGTACTTTTCATAGTGAATCCATGGCTATTCCACGGCTGGTGTGACTGTTTTGACCGCCAACATTCAAAACAGAACTGAAACCTGAAGAGGAAAACTGTCTACTTAAATAACATAAATGTGTGAATACCTTTAGGCAGCCTGAATTTCTCAGCACGGTGGGCAATTTTGGAAAGGATTGCAGCCTCCCACATCCCACTCTTCTTGATAGTTCACTGTATTCTGCCATTAGATACTGTCCCAAGTTTTTTTTCCCCACTTTTACTTTAGAAACATTTTGTTACTGACAATTCAAATGTCGATGACATCTCTTCCATTACAATCAGCACCTCATTTTTTTTAGGAAGCAGACAATATGTTACATTTGCATCAGTGGCACACAGTAGATTTTCAGAGCGGCGGTCCATCAGATGGGCATTTTTTTCCTGGTGAGTTTTTATCATTTCATTTTTCAATTTTTAAACCTCCCCCCCCCTCTTTATTTTTGCTGATGATCTATCTGAATTAATTTTGTAATATTTGAAATATTGTGTTAATGTATCTCAAAGGCGCTGAGGAAGATTTGACTTTAAGAACATTCCTCTATGTGTTACTGTTCCAAGCACATGCTGATAAAAACGATTGGGAGACAGGCCTTAAAGTTTTAGACGAAGCTGTTCAGATTCTCCCTCGCACAAAGCACAGACTGTAAGTTGTTTGGATAGTTTGCAAAGTACTTCAATTAATACGCAATGTTATGGCTGTGGTTATCTTAAGTAACACAGTACCATCCAAAGTTCTGGAATGCCAGAATTAACACAGAGAGAAATTTTCCACTCAGATGGTTGTCCTTTACCTCCAAACCAACTTTTGACAATAACAGAGAACTGATTTTCTGCTTATCTATTCCTTCCCCACCTTTGCTTTTTGTCCTCCAGTTTTCTTATAGAGAATACGCAGTCTATAAATGTCCTAATAACCCACTAGCCAAAGGGGCTCCGATATCTCTTAAGGTCTTCCAATTTACCCTGTTCCTCAGGGACAGCACCTAGCCACCTGGCATTTGAATGAAAGGGACAGCCTTTTAAAACTGGAATGCTTAGAAGAGGTATCTTCTAGAACACTATTAGTAATTTCAAGTATATGAGGAAATACAGAAGATGTTCATTAGACATGTGTGGCACAAGATCATTAACAAGCTTCACCAGGTCCTAATAGTGAGTTGCAACCAATGGTATGCTGGAGCCAGCTGGCACCAGCTTGTGAGAGCCTATTGTTAATTTTTTTGAAATTTTGCAAGCCGGTCAACAGCAGAGGAGAGCCTCGGTGCCTAGCGCACCAATCAGCTGTTCTGCAGCTAGTGATGTGGGGCAGCAGAGCTGGTTCTTAAACATTTAGCAGCACACCACTAGTTGCAACTCAGAGATTAAATCCAATGCTTTACATAAGCAGGCCTTGGTCTTCTTTTCATTTTCATTCAAGATAAGATACTGACTTGCACTTCTACATAAAGAGACCTTTGTGGGCCCCTCCACTACACACATCTTCTTCCTGGAATCCATCCAAGCAGTTCTTATGGAGCTGAGAAGATTTCTATGTGAAATGATAAAGGCCACGTTGTTAAGAATTTTCCTTCAAATTGGTGTTCTTCGTGGCAATTAAATCAGTTAGTGGATATCCACATATGGTACAAACTCCATGACTGGCTTTGTTTATTCTATAAGTAAACAGTAATTCTCCATAATTATTCCTCCTTCATATCAAAGCATCATATTTCTCAGTAAAACTTTCTGCTTTGAGCAAATGGTTTTGTTCAAGCTGAATATGTACAGTGCAGTCACAGTGTATAATGGTCACACACAATCCTTCAGACACATTCACACTTTATTTCCTTTTCACACCAATGTCTTTCAGTAAAAAACTACTTCTGATTCCATTTCAGCAAGCATTTGTAGCTCAACATTCCAATTGCAGTTCTTTCTATTGGGTTGGTGGTCATAACTACATTTTTCCTCAATGTGGATGTTACTCAGTATTATCACTAAATTCTACAAATGGGTACTTTTGGAGGCAGCCTTTGTTAGCCTCTGTTAGCCTTCTTAGAATATTAAATTAGTTAGTATATGTCCCATTGTTGGAATTCTGCTCTGTGTAACTCTGAATTCAACCTACAGTATATATAAAGCTGCCTTATGTATTATCATGCTAAAGTTAGGATATGAATGAATTGCATTCCATCATGGATATAGATATGCCTGTAACACAAATAGTGACTTCTTATTCCAACATATGTTATAAAAAATTGTTGAAATACCACTTTGACAACTTATTAAATCATTCATAAATACTGACTCAATAAAATTCTCCTTCATAGCCCTATTTTTAAACATATGGTCATGGTGAAGGCAAGACTAGGACGTAATTATATAATGGAAATTCAGAAATTCCGAGATGAAACTGAAGACTACATGTCACATATGTGGCATCGTTTGGCATCTGTTTCCTTGGATATAGTGGGACAATTGTCTTGCTACCAAAATGCAATTGAAGTTTTACAGGTTCGTATGTATCTTCTTTTTAAAAGATGCTATTAGTCTGCAGTTCTTGGTGAAGAATCTATCCCTGACAGTAGTGGAAAGAATATAAGCTTTATGTAATTCTTAACCCTTGTTCGGGGTACAGTGTACTAACAGAAAGATGTTTGTCCAGAGACTTCCCTATCTTCCTTTCAAGAAGATGAATAGCCTTCTGTGATCCCATACCCAAACATCTAGGGAGCCTAAGAGTGAATTAATATAGTTAGTGATTTTCAGTATTTCTTGGACTTAAGTAGCTGTCCTGAAGACACCTTTAGAGTACTAGATGTTAGAGCATCTGAAATGGAAAGTTCAAGTGAATGTTTCAATTTTGAAATCTTGCTTTTGATATTTAACAAGTTATTCATAAATAGTTTTCCCTTCCTCTAAATCCTAGTACTGTCTCTGAACTGAAAAAAAAAAAAGGAGGTGTCTTGTAGAGATATTTCAAAGTTAGGTTTATATGCCTATTGCTACATAACTTAATCAAGGTTTTCGGTCCTGACAGACATAAAGAATACTTCCCTCTTCCCCAGTACTTGCGTACAGCAACTGATAATCTAGATATGGCATATTGCAAACAGCCCCAAACTCATGCTACTTTGCAATCACACAGAAATGAAGTTTCTTTCTTCTAATTTTTCTTTGTAGTGGGAAGAATGCAGATGCCGGCACCAGTTTCCTTACCTTACCTTTGGGATTAGGGAGGCAAGCAAGGCAGCTGCCTCTCAAGGAAGATTTGATTTAATTTAATTAATCGCACGTTGCGGAGGGTTGGACTAGATTAATTTTGTGATCCCTTCCAACTCTGTAATTCTATGACTCTGTGATTAGAAGTTGCAGTTCATCTAAAAGAAATGTCGTTTTTTTGTTTATTTAAATTATTATTTTTTCCCTCTGAAAGGGGATGTGCATCAAGAACTAGTCTAAATGTGTGCTCATTGTTTTTATGTAGAAAAAGGAATCTGAATTAAAAAAAGTGGATAATATCTTAGGATTTGCAGAATGGCTGTATTGCAACCAGTTTCCTCTTAGTGATGCTATTAAACACTTGGAATGGGCAATAAATATGTTGTTGTACCTCAGACCTCTCCAAAACAACCCTGAGGAAGAAGGTATGTTTTTCTAGATATCTTCCAAAAATGGCTCTCAATAAAATAATAATCAGAGCTCTCTTTTTAGCATTTTTGGGGGAGGGGGAGGTTGTGTAACGTCAAAGTTCTTCCTTTGACATTAGAAATATTTAGATTTCTTTCTGTGGTCTTCTATAGGTGATATTTTTCCTCTTTTCATTTAAACAAAATACTGTTTTAGGCCTGCTGGGGCATAAATTCTGATTTTTAAACTAAGGGGGTATAGAAGATAAAATTAATGCCTGAAACTTTTCTGGACTACCCAGAGCTATTATTCAGCTACATCTGGAGGGTTGCAAGTTATATAAAATATGTCTGTTACATAAAACATATCAACAATATGTTTATATTGTTATATAAAACATTTTCAATAATGTTGACTGATTCTTCATACTTTTCTTTATAGAATTAAAAAGCCAAATTAGCATTGGAGAATTAAGAAGCATAAAAGAGTTAGAAGCTTTATTTAGAGCTTATACAATAATGGCAGTCATTTCTGGCCATGGTTCAACTTCTTATGAGCAGCACTGTTTGATGGCATATACTTTTGTGATGCGCATATGGCAGGTGAGATAAGAAAAAGGTGGCTAGAAGGCTGCTAAATGCATTGTGCAAGTCTATTAGGGTTTTTATTTTTTAATGAACAGTGCATTGAATTGAAAGCACTCGCCTCAATCACACTGATCTTCTGAAAAGAATTATTGTAGCTTTTAGTGAAGATAAGTTATATGCAAGTGATTTCTTGATATACTTGGATGTCAAGCCTGTTCCAAAAACTTGTTCAAAACAGATTCCCTTTTTTACTGAACTATAGAATCTGTAAGGCCATTAGTCTGAACAGAAATGTATCTCATTTTCTGCAGTGTGCTGATATTGTGAAGTCATAATAATGCTTAACAGCATTTAATTGGAAACAAAATTACTTCTCTGATATTCTTATAAGCACAATTATATTTGTTACATCAAAACTATTTACACTGAATCAGCCAAGCATGTCAAAGTTAAGGTAACCAATGGCAATGAAGCTTTCAGGATCTTAGTCTAAGCACTTTTTCTAGAAAAAAGTGTAACCTGGATTGAAACATGTCAAAATGAGTAAATCAGAGCAGTCATAACGATGTGTGTTAGCAGAAAAGTGATGGATCACTTGTTACTTTCTAAGCCTGTTGGCTCATCCCAGCCAAGGTAGGAAAATGGTGGTCGTTTGCCCGGGCTCTTTAGCCAGGGAGAATTTATTTGTTTGGCTCCCCTCTCCACAGAAACCAGTGTTCCCCTGCCATTTTAAAGAAATGAATTTTTTTTAAAGTTGCCTCTTAGAAGTAATAAAAGTTAGGGACACAAAGTAAATTGTACTATACCCATTGGCTCAGCTAAGTTTTTGAAAAAGAAGCTTGAAAAGGTCCTTTTACTTTTCTGTGAATTTTCTTAAGCTAGCTTCTATTATGATATAAGCCGTTAACTTTAATGTATATAAACTTGCTTACTTGTACAGAAAATAAAGGCAATCTGTAAATCTCTAAAAAGGGCTTTATTCTTATACTATATGTTTTATTTTCTATAATAATTGACGTAAACTATTAAAAGTTATACTTCTTAGATTTTGTTCCTCCCAAAAGCAAATGTAATTATTTTTTCAGATGTCATTCACATCAGCAGGATTGATTATAAAGGCACAGGCCAAAGTTTCACCAACCCAACCAACAACTCCAAAATCAAAAGGCCAAAAAGATGCAAAGCAGGTAATGCACCTCTCCCTCAAAAGCTTACCTTCTCTTCATATCCAAACATTTCCTCCCATTATAAGAGTTTGTGGGGAGAGTAAGGGGGGAAACAAATAATTATGCATATGTCATCATGTCATCATGCAAATGACATAACTGAATGCTTGTGTCAGATACGACACAGTTACATAATTGTGTTGTTACTGTGATGGCATTATGAAGCATGAGGCTTGTTACAAATCCTGCCACTTTCCATAAATTTTATTTTATTAAGTAGGGATTCTGTTAATGCTTTTAACAGAAGGATTTCCAGAGTTGTTGATCTGCCGGCATGTTTCAGTATCAGCTAGCATAGGTGATAGTCAGGATCATAGGGATAATAAAGTAATAATATCTAGAGAGATGAAATTTTCACATCTCTGTTACTACCTTTCTATCTGAGAACATATTAGCAGTGAAATGAATGCTTTTTACTTGGAAACAAATTTATACATCACATAAATGCTGCCACAGATCTTTAAATTCTCAAAACTTGGATAACCTCAATCATTATGTAGCACTGATCATTTGTAAGACAAGGCAAGATGGATACATTCACAGAATCGTATTTATGTAGAGACTAATCTGTCTAAAATTAATCAAACTGGTGAGCAAATAATCATTGCTTTCTACTTCCTGTTGATTTTAAACATCTCTTAATTTGTGATACATGTAACAATTGTGGATCTTTCCTTCCTCATTATAATTAGGTTGTGGGATAAAAAGTTGTTTCCCGAACGTTCCCAAATTTGGAATTTCTATGAACTGAAGAAACAAGACAGTGAATAAAGTCATTTTTGTATAGCTAAAGTATTATCGTGTTTTTTTTTCTTTATTTCTGCTTGGAAATCCAGAGCTAACCCATGAGAAAGAGTTGCGACTTATTTTACGAAAAAAACCATTATTAGGACTGAATGTATTATTACAGAAATACCTATCACTATTTCTTTTTTTTCTAAAGCCTGATCCTACTCAGAGTTCACCTACAAGCCCTCCTAAAAAAGATAAAGAGAAATCCACAAAAGATGTAAAAAAGGTATATTTCCTTTAATGCAGTATTTTAATTTCATTTATGTTAATGAAAAATAAACTTTCCTAAAAATAAGAGTGTAATTTTCAGGTACATTCAGCCATTAAAGAGAAGGCTAAGAAGAAAGGGCCAATTGATGTCTTGCCCGGAAATGTGGAGGAATGGGCTAGCTATGAGTGCCCTGATGAAATGAGAGAAGCCTTTAAACAGGACTCAAGCGGCTGTGCTGTGAACAGGGAAACCATTTTAGCACCTGTGAGTAATGTTTTGAAAAGGATTTATGGGGCTTTCTCTGATGTATATTAAATGAGGAATAGTTTGGAGTTGAAAGTGCTATGGCAGTATGATTAGAGCAAGAAGTAGATGATTTTACTGAATGATACTCTCCCTAGATCATTCAGAACAATCTTGCTCCTTACCAATCAACTCTCTGCTCAACGTTCCCCTCCTTTCAGTATACTTTGATTTAATATACTAGTACAAAAAGACAACAACACTTAGAAATATAGGTAGTCCCCGGGTTAAGAACACCTGGTTTAAGGACAAACCATAGTTTAGAACAGAGCCTATTGTAGAAAAATTTGAGTTAAATACACAATGATTCAAGTTAAATACACAATGGTTCGAGTTAATTACATAATACTATTTATACAGTGTTATACAACAATACAGTGCTGGCTTTCATACAAA